GGACTTGGAACTGATTTGAACAATAAAAGTTCACTTTATAATTCTTAACGAATAGTGTCGAGACCAAAACATGTGGTATTGGCACCCAATCTGTGTCGGCAGCTCCTAATCAAGAAGATGTTATTATTATTATTTTTAATAAACTAAATCAAGAAGATGTTTTATTATTTAACATTAGTGTATTTAGCTGATGATGATGATCCAAAACTGAAAGGGACGAAATCAGCGCATGAGATCAAAAAAAAAAAAAAAAGGAAGTTAGAAATGGGGATGTTGACGGCCTTTTTAGAAAAGGTGTCAAAATAACTTGTTCAATATGTGATCTGCATAGCCATAACAATGATTCCAACTTCAAGAAACAAATATTGAAGGTTAGAATTATTTTATCATATGTCTATTTTTTTTTTCGACCTTAAAGCACACATGAAATAATATTAGTTTTTTTTTTTTTAATTTTTTAAAGATAGAATCCTCCAAATGCAAGAAAAAAGAAATCAAATGAAACCTCCTCACATTCAAGAATTGTTTTCAATGTGGAAGATGTATTCTGCAACTATCAAAGAAGTGAAATTGCAGAAAATAACGTAAAAAAAGTGTGTTTTCTCAAAAAATACTATAGTAATATTATTACCATATTTAAAAGCATGTAAATATATAATATCATAATCAAATAATTTTATATTTTTTGTCATGTAAAACTTTTGAAAAGTCTAAAAAAACAAGATAAAAGAGGAATAATCATCATTTTTAAAGTAAATCAGTTAATTTTGTGCATGGACAACTTTTTTCGCGCACCAACAGAATGCTTTACACAAATAAGTCAAAATTTTCAAACATAAGTAAACTATGATAATTTCTTAAAATTGTTATTTTTAGTAATATAATTGTAAAAAATTTAATATGGTACATTAAATAAATTTTTTATTTAAAATATTTTATATAATATATTCAAATAATAAATTAATTTTAATAAATTTATATAATGTACCTTATTGTATTTAACTAATCTATATATTCATTATCATGCTTATGATTTTTCTTTAATTTTATATTTTTTTTGTTAAAATGAATAAAAGGAGAATAGATCCTTCGACACGGGTTGGGTGCCGACACTACCTTTTTCAGTGTCGACACTTATGCTTGGTGTCCAAATCCCCTCCAAGTCCGAGCAGCCCCCTATTAATTTTCTGACGCATCAGCAATTTAATGGGCTCCAGAGATGAAATTTATTTGTCCCATCAGCATTGATGTCCAATTAATTTTTAAATAGTAAAATTAAAAAGGTAACATCATTGCATAAATTTTTTTTTAAAATGATAACTTTAATTAGTTAAATAAAAAAATGATATTTTTAATTAAAAAATTTTAAAAAGCGATGTAATTATATATGAAAAATCTCCACCTGAAAGGGTAATCTCCCAGCTGCAATGACGGAAATTCAACTTCCTCAAATTACCACAATTAGGTATTCTTAATTATTGAGATTAGCATGGTTTACAATATTTTTGCTTTAGCAAATTAACCCCAAACTCAAAGAGGCACATTGTTTGTTTTCTCATTTGAATCTTTAATTTCTAGCTTATAATGATATACAGGGA